CTGTAGCACGTTACTTAATAACGCGTTAGTCCCAACACTGGTGATAACACATTTCAGATAAACATTACACATATACAGGGTGGGCCTTTTATGTGGATACACGGTAATAAAATGGTAATGCTTGGTGATATTAAAGTCCTGTTTGTGGCACATTAGTATATGTGAGGGGGCAAACTCCTCAAGATGGGTGGTGACCATGGTGGCCATTTAGAAGTCGGCCAACTTTTGTTTTTTCAATAGGAAGAGGGCCATGTGACACATCAAACTTATTGGTAATGTCACAAGAAAAACAATGGTGTGCTTGGTTTCAACGTAACTTTATTCTTTCATGAGTTATTTACAAGTTTCTGACCACTTCTAAAATGTGTTTAGTGTGCTGCCCATTGTGTTGGATTGTCAATGCAACCCTCTTCACACACTGATAGCATCACCGCAGGAGAAATGCCAGCACAGGCATCCAGTATCCGTAGTTTCAGGTGCTGCACATCTCGTAACTTCACACCATAGACAATTGCCTTCAGATGACCCCAAAGAGAAAAGTCTAAGGGGGTCAGATCGGGAGACCTTGGGGGCCATTCAACTGGCCCACGATGACCAATCCACTTTCCAGGAAACTGTTCATCTAGTTGGACCTGGCACCCATAATGTGGTGGTGCACCATCTTGCCGGAAAAACTCAGGGAACGTGCCAGCTTCAGTGCATAAAGAGGGAAACACATCATCATGTAGCAATTTCAAATATCCAGTGGCCTTGAGGTTTCCATTGATGAAGAATGGACCCACTATCATTGTACCATTCACATAAAAGTTTGCCTCATCACTGAAGAAAATCTTCTGCGTGAACTGAGGGTCCTGTTCCAATTTTTGTTTTGCCCATTCTGCAGTAGCTGGAGTTTGTAAGGGTGCCATTTGTGAGTAGCTAATATCCGCCGAAGGGATGTTCGACTAATGCCACTCTCCAGTGACATGCGGCGAGTGCTACGCTGTGGGCTCTTGCTGAATGACGCTAGGACAGCCACTGATGTTTCTTCAAATACAACACTGAACCAGTTTCACGAAACTTAGCAAGCAGTTTCATCTATTTAATCTAAAAAGGACAATACAAGACAGTCAAAGTCACTGCAGTTTAGATCATGTTTATTGTATCAGTGCATGTCCAGTATTAATAAAAAAACAAAACCACAGCATCAGTACAAAAGGAAAACTACAGTATTGGGTTGAAACTCATAGCACATCACACTGTCCCACTCTCAGACAGCTAACATGGTAGCCATGTCTGATCAGTCACATTGCATACGAGTCATCTGCTTCTTTATTAAAGCTTCAAGTGACCGCAACCTGCTTTACACTCTCCTCTCAGACAAGTGCTCTGACTCGAGTTACAGTGTGGCGCACGAAGTGCAAGAGCAAAAGAGGTTAAAATAGGATTTGAGGTGTGTGAAGTCTAAACTGTCAATGAAATCTTGTGACCGGGACAACAGTCGCAGCCCTAAAAAAAACTTAAAAGGAAACAAAAAAAACTTGAAAGTGCTTCACAAAATCACTCAATCAAGATTTTCTGAGTGCAAAGGTGAGAGATCAGCAGAGAATGTAAGGAATTAAAAACTTGGTTTCACACATATGTGTATCTTTAAATACATTCAAAATAAAATAAAATAAAAAACATCCTCTGATAATGGAACCAGACTAAAATCTGATTGTAAGACGTGTAATCTGATCCATTAGAAGTAGTCATCATCATCAGTCTAAACCCGTAGCCAATAAAAATAGATTATTTTTATTATTAATAATAACTGAATCGTACAAACAAAAAAAGACAAACAGTGGTAACAAAGCTTGGTTCAGTAAAGCAGGAGTGAACACCGTTGTCAAAGCTGAGAATGTCACAGCTACGATCACGGAATCGTGAATAACACAGTAACTAAAGAGTAAAAATAAAAACGGTTAAATGGGACCTATCCTTATTTTCTATCGGTCGTGTATCATAGTGTTTATACTACTATCCAATTACAGTGATCATGTTAAATGTGCATCAAAAAATGAGGTAAATGTATATAAAACTAATCTTTATGAGAGGCAATCATTTTGCCAACTCCTGACATCAGCTTGGCACAGATTTCCTTGTATGGTGATTAGGAGGCGGGGTTTATGAGCACTGGCTTCTGTGTGGAAGCCAGGCGAGGGGAAGCCAATCAGAAGAAAGAGGGCTTCTTCAAACAGCAGGTGAACTTAGCAGCTGTGTCAGGGTCCATTTATGTTCCTCGCCCTTGTGAACAACGCCGAGCTTTGATGTCGTTTTGGCCAGTGCTACACCGCTTAACTTATGTAACCTCGTGCAGCAGCTGCCACAGATTACACAGAGGGAGATGTTACAACAGGTTGAAAGGGAGAAAAGAAATCTTCTGATTTCTTTGGTTCTGGTTTTGACTTCTTACCAGCACTGACATGGACTTTTTGTCTGAGTAGCGACACCTACTGTAGCGAGTCCTTGCACCCTCGGCGCTGGTGTAACTGGTACAGAGCTGTGGCGATGTCACTGCACATACAGTGGCCAATGCTTCGAGAGTGTGATGTCAGTTTTAACGAAATACTCATTTATAGTCTCACAATACGAATATGTAGCTAGAAATAAGCATAATAACAGGTCCCTGTCTAATTACTCAGTTACTTGAGTCACATGAGACAACAACTGTGGCAAGAAGTTTTGTTTTTTTTTAGAAAACCTGCCTTTACTACAAACTCTACTTGAGCCTCCATTAGGAGAGAGGTAGGGAGTACAAATACTGCACAACCACGTACGGTAGCACAGATACAGCCAAGGAGTGCAGGCTGGAAATCAGGGGTCTTGTAGATAAAATATATCATCTTACAGTTCACCACAAACGACACAGTAATTTTTAGGCATTTCTCAATATCACAAAATAAATTAGGCACTGAGTTCTGAGCGATGATGCGATTAGCATCGATGGCTCCGCCATACACAATCGTAAACCCAATGTGATGTCATTGGTCCAAGTTTGGGATTAGGGTGCATGCTTACAGGAGTTTTTGTGTGCTGCTGAATGAAAGGAGCTGGTGCCATATCGCTCTGAGAAACCGTTCAGCTAAGCACATAGCATCATGGGTGACCAGCTGCTATGCCTCTTTTTCAGTCAGGGCGTCCCTATGGAGTCAGGCCACACAGGGAGGAGCTTCAGGGAGGGGAGCAATTCCCCTGAGGAATCAGCCTATAGGAAGCTGGATGTCGTTTCCTCATGTGCTCATTCACAGGTCTTCTTCAGGACAGAGGGAGTGGCGTCCGTAAAGGTCCTACTAATCACAGACAAGAAGACAACTGACTGGTTGGTTTGCATTTTTTTAAAAACATCTAATCTGCTGTTTGTTCTTCATGCGTCTTACCTCATAGGGTGGGGAGGCCAGTTTGGCTGCACTGGTGTGGGCACTGCAGAGCTGGGGCTCATCAGCATAGCGCTGTAGATGTTGGCTGCCACCACCAGGATGCAGAGGAGGATAGGCCCGATAATAGCCCCCTCCAGACCCAGATAGTACGCACCACCTGCCACCGCCAGGCCTGTCAAATATGGGTGTCCACCTCTGAGACAAAGACAAAAGAAATGGTTTAAAACACAGTGGAAAGGCTGGCAGGCAGCTACTGTATCAGTGCACACATGTGATGCAGCCAAAGGCTAAAACAGGCTAAAAAGTTAGCTTTCCCCAAACCGCACCTGTGGTCAGAAGTTTATATACACCCATCAAGGTTAGTTTGAGCTTTTATCCATTCCACAACCAGTTTTGATGTGTGTTTGAGGGTCACTGTCCTGTTGAAACAAACCACTGTGTCCAACGATTGATTTGAGGTGAAGAATTTAGAGATCCTCCTTCATTATTCCAGCCACTTTGTGCAATGTACTAGTACCACTAGCAGCAGAGCAGCCCTGGAGCATGACAGCTAGTACAGCCTTCTTAGGTTTGTAAGCCTCGCTTTCACTCACTACAAACATACCTCTTGTCATTGTGGACAAAAACTCACTCTTTGATACGTCTCACCATCAAACTTTTCTCTAGAAGATTTGGCGTGTCCATGTGAGCAGCTGAAAATTTCAGTTGAACTTGAAGACGTCAATTTTTGAGCACTTCTTTCTTGGTCGTCATCCTCTCAGTTCATGGTAAAACTGGCTTCTCTGTGGAAAGTGACGCTGGTGTGCCTCCAGTTTCCTACAGGCTTCAACCTTGATAGGTCCTGGATTGTTCTCAAACATCCTAACCATTTTCCTCTCATCTGAGGGTGGCAGCTCGGGACTTCCTCCAGACCCTGGCAAACTGGTGACACATCTGAATAACTTGTACTTAGCTAGAACTACTTAAACTGATGATCTTAGAATCTGCAGGTGTTCGGAAATAGCTCCAAGAGACCTTCACAACTAGTGTAAATCTATAATTCTCCTACTTAGATCTTCATTGAATTCTTGGGATGTTCCCATTTGGTCAATCCAATGAGTGCTGTCAGTCAAATCCTTTTTAAGCTGGTAAAGAGAAACTGCCAGATGTACTCAATCATAATAACTAACGAGAAATTAATAGGCCTTGGCCTTATCAAGTTACAAGACATTGTAGAATCTTCAGCACTGCTTATTAAAAGATTTGAGTTGATGTATGCATTTGAGTGTGTATGTAAACTGTATGTAAAGATAGTAGGGCTTGAAGCTCGAAGACAGGAGCATTATCTGTCCACAGCAGGGAGTTTATGAAACAGAGGCAAACAGAGACGCTGGTTATAGACTCGTACAACTGTACAGTTTTCTTTCAAACCCACATTAGGCCAGCAAGCGGACTTGTATGTATTATGTTAACAGTCACAGGTGGTTTGGTGCGATTTGTTTGTCAGATGTCCCAGTGCCATAAAGAGAAGCTCAAATAAGCTGGTCACGCATACATACCCTGATATATCAGAGTAGATGGCTGTATCCACAAAATATGTTGGGAGCAGGTGGCAGATGAGCAGCAGCAGGGCCTTGACACCTTCACCCTGCGCCAACCACAGGTCACACACTGCCGGCACAGCTGCCCAATAGGTCCCCAGGAACGGCACGGCACCCAGGATGGCAGCCAGAGCTTCAGGCCAGGAAAGAGGGATTCAGAGAGTGACAAAACACTGAGTGTGGCTTGGCAGGTGCGAACATAACGACAGCACAATCTGCTGCGGACACGCTGACTCACCAGAAGGAATGAAGACGATGTTGATGCCAAAGATAGTGTGAGTGAGCCAAGTGTAGAGGCCGTAGAATCCGGCCATTTTCAGAGAGGCGTCAAACACTCCTCTTCAAAACAAACACAAATATGGTCAAAAATAATCTCGCCAAGGTACAAATTTAGATTCTGTAGCTTTTACGCATGCGACTACCTGATGGCCTCTTCAACAGACTGGCCGATGATGTTACTGGAGGGTCCCGGCTGAGAGAGAGGAGTTAAGCTGATCACCCATTTAACCGGTTTGTAGTATTCTCCACTGGAGCTCAGCAGGTAGAAGAGAGTAGTCAGGAAAATCACCTACAGGAAGGAGTAAAAATGGCAGCTGTGCTAAATATAAGACTATCTGATTAGCTTTTTAAATCTTTAAGAGTAAATGTGGCAGGTCTACTTTATTAAAATAAGACAGAAAGAGCAACACCATTAAATATACACAGTTAACAATGCTCAGTAAAATCCTGTATTGTGGTTGAGGAACAGATGACATGTCCAAGCCCCACCTCGGTCACTGTGGAGTTGACACGCTTCCAGGATGCGTGTTTGGCTCTAATGTCAGCTCACTATTTTAGTCCAGTGAATGTTTCCTGGCCTCAGTCTCCTCTAACTTTAAGGTGATTTTGATCTTTGTAAAGGTCCATGGCCATTCCAGACTACTGCTCATTTGTGCTGGCATTATTTATTGAGGAGAAAAAACTCAAGGCCAGTGTCATCAATTTAAACTGATCTCAGGTTATGGATCATGTTTTGTTTTTGTTTTTTTTACACGACCTGGCAAAATACTTATTTAAGAAGATGTTTCAGTGGAATGAATGCCTTGTTAAGTTAGCTAATGATAGCGCCTCCTTGAGGTGCCCCGGGCGGGTCATCTACTAAAAGGAAGGTCGGCGATTTGATCCCAGGCTCCTCAAGTATGCATTTCAAAATGACTCTGGACAAGATACTAAATACCAGATTGCCCCTAGTGCATCCATCAGAGTGTGAGTGTGTGCTTAATATGAAGGAGTTTAAATGTACCACAACAGTTTAAACAATGCTTAAAAGAAGCACTGCCTCCATTGCAGAAAGCACAGCAAACAAGCACACACCACTGACACGTGTTAGTAAGCATTATTTATAAATCAACCTAAGCACACAGTTGGGAATGATCTTTAGCTAAACATAAGTCTGAGAACATTTTTATGGACGAGTCTGCAGGACATTATTCGGCCTCAGATTTCTATAAATCTATTACCGTAGAATATTTTTGAGAAACACTTGCAGTTAAGCTGAACATTTTCTGCTTACTTTTGTGCATTACAAAAGAATAATGATAATCAATTTTGCAAACAGTTGGACTTTATAAAATGGAGAAAACGACGTGGCTGTGATCAGCGTTTCATACCAAACTCAGTGCAAAGTTGAGGAGCGCCGTGCCGCTGTGGAACAAGACGGTGAGGAGAGTGGTCGTGGTGGAGATGAGGAGGCCAACGTTCCTGCTCATTACAACCCACAAAGACTCCAGGATCTGCAAAATGACGAGGCAACAATAAACACACCATCCACAGGAAACCGTACTTCTATCTAAGACGCACACAGTTGTAAATTTGCAAATGCTGCTAGTGGGGCAGTGCTGGCATGGTGCTCTCATGGCTGATGTCCTGATCTAAGAAAACAAAATGGTCTTGGACTGCAGAGGTGGGATCTTATCACGATATCATGCTGGAATTCAGAGCTCCCGAGAGCCACCCATCCTTTCACAGATGTTTGTAGAAGCGGTCTGCATGCATTGGTGCTTGATTTTATGCACCTGTGGCCATGGAAGTGATTGAAACACTTGGCATTATAGTGTACGTTACATACGTTCATACTTACAGACAGTAGTGTCTCGATATTTTCCTGCAGAAAGGAAGCAATGTCCTTCCAGTCCAGGATGTCCCCCAGCCAGCTGTTCTGTCTGTGAGTCATCTTATTCCCACGATGCCGTCCAGAGTGGGTTACATTCTGAAAAATGTGACCATAGTATTTTATGTAAAACTGAAGAATACTGAAGAACAGACTTTGGAAGACAGTAAACACAAAACTCTGACACTACCTTCACAAACCAGGAGTGATACAGTCGGTCCCAAAGTTCTAGAACTTGCTTCTCAATCACTGCAGTTTGGTTCACCTTATCTCCTAAAATCTTATGAAGCTGCACACACAAAGGAAACAGATTGGTCACATTCCTCGCTGTCTGGCTGTATTCCATTATTATCAGTGAAAATTACTGTCCTGACCTTTTGTGTTATCCATTCTCTCCCATGCTGGTAGACATTAGTAGCAGCTGAATTTAGAGCTTTCTGGACCACGCGGGCTTCTGGAAGGAGGCTAACAGAGGACAAAGTAAGGTTGTTTTAGCAAATGAGAGGAAAGTCTAAAAATAAACACAGAAAAACAGAGTGGACTGTCCTACTTGGCCCATTCTGGATGGTTAGATACGGTCTCATTGATGAGGTTACTGGTTACGTCGATGATGTGAGCACTTTCGTGATGAACCTACAAAGATTAATGTTTACTTTTTTTATCCATCATCAGTGCAAATGATGTGAAGTCAGGTTAAAAAACCCAAAAACCTACCATAGCAGTGAGCAGCAGAGCCATGAGCAGGGTCCCTGTGACTAAGAGGAAGATGATGAAGATACTGATGATTTTATCCAGAGATCGCTCCAGCCACACAACCATCTGGGTGCACAGATAAAAAGGAGAGGAGGGCAAAGACAGGGAGAAGGGGGGGATAATAGGAAGATGGCAAAATAGACTCATCAGTACAACTTTAAAGGAGGTAAAAACATGCACATGGAGAAACCTGTGTCCTTATCACTTGTGAAAAGTCATTTTAGACGTAAAAAGTCCTCACAGAGGACAATAACAGCATATCTGTACTCATACAATGCATGCACCCATTCTTGCACTGAAGCATTAAATCATGCAAGTGGCTTTTTGGGTTGTTGGTTTAACGACAAACAGACATGACATCACTTTCAAAGTGAGCTCTCTGTTCTCGACTCAGGTTTCTCAATGCGCCAAAACTGCATTAAAATCAAAGCTCTGTTAGCAGAACCCTCTCTTTTTGCACTAAGGCCATGGCGTAATGGTTTATTATATTGATGGTGACATGACATGGCATTTTCTGCAAAGAGCATGAGACCTCTAAAAAGTTATACACAGGCCGCACAACGACAAACACTACATTCCCAATGCAGCACATCGGGACTGTATTAAAAATATAAACTACATCATCAGAAATGACTGAACTGAATCAACACCTGTGATAATTCTAAATAAAAGACACTCTAGTTCATAAATAACAGCCAGAATTAGAGTATAAAGTGCCTTGAGGCAACTTGTGTGATTTGGCGCTATATAAATAAAACCGAACTGAACTGAATAGATTGTAAACACTTTAAATTTGTACTGAGGTCAAGACAGAAAGCAAGTCTTTTTCCAACCATAGTTATTGTGGCCTGGTGGCCTTCAGATGCAAAATGCAGGCTTGTAGGTACATTGAGGTCGACGGGAGCTACAGCCATTCTGTATATAGTTCAAATTGAGAACTACAGAGAGAGTTTGTGGTCTCATCAATAGTTTCAAGCCTTATTAAAATACAAACAAAACAAAAAAAAAAAAAGCAGAATGTTGTATGTTGTACAATATGGTCAAATGTAAGAGTAAAACAGATGACAAAAAAGGGTTTGAAATTTGGTCCTGGCTGCTGACTGAGCATGTAGTTTCCACAAAAATCTCAATTTGAGCCAAGCCTCTTTTCTGATGTCTTACTTTAAAACTAAAAGAACAACAACAACAAAGACCAAACAATGAGTGACAGCCCAGTGCTAATCTCCATCTTTTATATACAGTCTATGGTAATAACCAGCTCCACAGAGCCAAATGGTCCAAAGGTGGCCAATATATTCACTAAGTTTAGTTCCTCACATTGAATAACCATGTTTCCATTGTTTTGTCCAGTCCCTTAGCCACACCTAAAAAATAAAAAAATTAACATTTCCGGGGAAAAAAAAGGAAACACCCCCCAATTTAACACTACTCTTTGAGGCAGCTCACACACATATACACACACACACACACACACACACACTCAAGACAAACTCAGGTCAAAGCAGAGAAGATACAGTCGGGGCTGAGGGATTATTGAGTGCAACACCCCGGCTGTAGCTCACTGTCAAAATAAAAGCTGGAAAGAAGCAAGAGGACAGATGTTTAGACAGGATGGCAGAGGTGATGACAGTGGATGGGTAAAATGCCAGTCCAAGCCGCTACAAGGTGTGCTCACGCTGTCACACACACCCGCACATAAATACAAGTTATTTATTTATTTGCCCTTGTTTTCTCAATGTCTCTCACACACAAGCCCACTTTCTCTCAGTCTCGCTCTCTCAGCACTCTGCTCCTCCAAATCATTACCTGCTTGTTAAGCCAATGCCAGAGCTTGGGGAGGAGACAAAGAGACATTGGGAAAATTATTATTGGAAAGAGTTTTGCAGCAGTCATCACATGTACCCGTGCAACAAGAATACAAGCTCTGTGTGGGTACAGGCTCTGAGGGGTCAGAGCGGTGTACTACAAAGAGGAATTCATGTGTTAGCAAGGTATGTTGAGACTATAGCCAGAGGTTTCAGAAGGGCAGCTCTCGTTTTAAAGCTATTTTCAGAAGTTTTTGTCTAACATCATCTCCAAGTGATACGGTTTCACTTCTTTTCCAAACAAGTTGCCCTAAGAGTGATATAGATTATCAGCTGACATGCAATCTGTTAAGCTGTACATAACAGCACTGAACAAAGTCTAGCAGTTAAGTTACAGCAGTGCAAACGGTACAGCTGTGGTCAGTTTACTTACAATCACAGGTCATTTGGGGCTTTTAATGATTTCTTTGAACTCAGTTGTTTGTATTTATTTTGGCTCTTCTCTAATCCACTAAGGGTCAAAATATATACATAAATCTCCACTATTATTTTGTTTAAATGTCTCTTAGCAAGTCAACCAAATGCTTCCGGTAGCCATCGACAAGCTTTAGGCATAATTCCTGGAGCAGACCCAGCCTTTCAGCATAGTCCATGAATATTCAAAGGGTTGAGGTCGGGGCTTTGGGAAGGCCATTCAAGAAGCTCAATGCTAGCCTACCGTACTTTATCTATTCCAACACCAGTTTCGATATGTGTTTGGGATCATTGTCCTGTTGGAACTACCAACTGTGTTCAAGTTTCAACCTTCTATCTGTTCATTTAAGATCAAGTTTAAGAATCTTCTCTGTAATGTACCTTATGCCACTGGCAGCAAAACAGCCCCAGAGCATGATGCTACCACTACTATGCTTGACACTCAGTACAGTGTTCCTCATGTTTATACTTCTAGTCATTGTGGCCCAAAAGTTCAATCTTTATCTTGCCTGACCATAAACTTTTCTCCAGAGGGCATTTGGCTTATCTGTTTGAGCAGCTGCAAACTTCAGAGGAGCTTGAATGTGTTGATTTTAAAGCAGGGGTTTCTTTCTTGGTCAACACCCTCTCAATCCACTGCGATGTAAAATTCACTTCACTGTGGACAGTGATCTTGGTGTTCCAACAGTTTCCAGCTCTTGAGCCTCGGTGGTTCTCGGGTTGGGCTCCTTTGAGTTTCCTATTGGTCTGAGGTCAATCAAATGAGTCCTGCCAAGCAAATCCTTTTTGTGCTGGCAAAGAGAAACTACCAGCTGTAGTCAATAATTAATGGGGAGTTAATAGGCCTTGGCCCTGTCAGATTAAAAGGCACTGTAGAACCTTCGGGACCACTTGAGTATGTGTATACATTTGGGCGTGTATGTATATGTTCCAGACTATTTGGATGAGAGAAAATCTAAAATAAGTTCAAACTCATGCTCCCATTTCTTTTTTCCTTAAAGTCATTAAACATATATGGTCTACAATAATACAAGTCTGGAAAAAGAACAGCTCAAAAAAATCGTTAAAAGTCCAAATTTACTATGACGTTTATGCCTGTGATGAATGTAAACTGACAACAACTGTACATGTTGTGTTTTCACAGGAATTCCCAGGCACTGAACTTGTGTAAATGCTACGTTTTACACTGCTGCGATAGCAGTCTACTGGAATTTATTACAGAGGTTATTCAATTAAGAAAATTAATTTAATTCAATTTGGTCAATAACAAAAGTTATCTAATTACAGTGTCAAACCTGAATGCACTTCATGATGAAACGCATCATGATTCTAATTTGTAGATCTCTACATTAAATAGCAGCACCAGGAGTGGACTGAGTGGTAAAATAAATATAGTAATTTATTAATTTATGTGATTAATATTTTTCTGCTGAATTGTTCCATCTTGAGTTATTGGCAGCACCAGTATAGCTGTTGCAGTCCATTTTGTGCTAAACAGGAGTCAAATGATGCTCCCACCACCAACTCCCACTTTTATGTAAGCGAGGACAGAGCCTGTCACAGAAACCATAACATTAAAATTGGAAATACCCGTCAGGTTTGAATGAGGTTTTAGGTTTCATGGGACCAACTAATGCATGAAAACAAAAAAGTCAAACTCTGCGGAAGCTGCTTCGTAGTACACCCCTCAGGAAGTGGCAGGCAAGATACACTAACTACAGTGAGTGTGGACTGGCAATACAAGTGGGATGCAAATCAATGTGATTACAAAGACAGAACACAAATACATCCCAAAACTGTGAGGGCAAGGCAGAAAAGTGTATAAGATTACAGCAATGACATCATTATTTATAAAACCTGAGAAATGTAAACCATGTAGCACTAATCCTGTCACTCACTCTAATATGTCGGCAAAAAATTCTGCTCTGCATTGCTTTGTTTTTTGAGATTTTTAGTCTATATTGAGAGATTTAGAGATATTTTGCCTCTAAATTTTGATTGGAAACAAAACAACTGCATACTTACACATCCAGCAGATATGGGGCAACAACATCACTGATGCATGAGTATTTTCTTGCCCACCTGGTGATGCGGGCATCAGGCTAATATTCACTCTCCTTTTAGCTCTGTTTTTTAATGAACTGATTTTAAAGTGTTTCTCAGCTAAGTGCTAATTTTGTCTGTCTACCATTTGGTGCTGGGCAGTTTAGCGCACACTTGGTTTAATACAGCTTTTTGCTAAAAATAGCTTCCAGCTGTTGCCGTAAACGACACTGATGAGATTGTTGCAACTGGGTCAAAACTAAAAGGCTGAAAAACAAAAACAGCAGCTAAAATCCTCTGTTAAAGGTAAAGGAAACTAAAAAGCCCCCGTTTTTGGCAATTTAATATGAATTTACCAATTTCATTTTAATAAATTTAGGACCTGGCAGATCTTTACACTGGCTAAATTTAGACATTAAAAATGAAACTAACATATGTAATATGACTGATAACAACAGAGCATTTTGAGACTTTCAGTTTTCCTGAGATGTTTTGATAAGTAATTTGTTATCAAGCAGTTGCAGATAAAGTGTGTCTGGATGGGGAAGTATAAAGTCAAAGGCAGAGGAAATAAGGACATCAGCTTCACAGGCAGCTCTTACATTACCTTAGTGTCGATACGTAGGAGGAACTGAGCCAGGCCTTTGATTGGTCCAGGGAGCAGTGCCTCTTCACGCTCACGTCCAAACTTCTCTAGCACCGTCCACCACGAGGTAAGAGTCCTCTCTGCAAAGCTCTTCATACCAAACCGGACCACCAGCTTCTTCAGAACCCACACTAGATCAGTGAGCCAACATGCACATGAGTAAAATCCGACTGACGAGGAGTAACTGAAAGTGTGCACATATCTGTTTGTATGTCTGTGTGTGTGTTACCGGCCACAGGAATAGGGAGCAGTTGTAGTATCCACAGGTTGAGCCAGACCTGCACCAAGACAATAGCCCAGACCAGCAGAATAAAGTAAATATCACTGGCTCTGTGGGAGCTTTTCTCTCTCTGGAAGAGGCCGGGCAATGTACGAGAGCTCCCAGCGAACCCGGGAAACCCAGGAGTGGAAGGCACGGGACCCACAGACTGCACACCATCTATGAGCGGATGAGGGAAAGCAGACAGAGGAAGCACAGAAGAGGAAGAGAAAGAAAGAACAAAGCAGTTGAGTTTCAGCCGCTGTGGCTAAATTGGTAAAGCCAAAGCAGCTACAGTAAAAAAAAGAAATAAAGAATGTAAAACTGAAATTGCATATCTTGGGTTTTAAAACTTGACATTTTTCTGACCAATTAGCAATGCTCTGAACATTTATCGAACAGTATGTTCAGAGGTCTGATTCCCTCTGTTCAATCTGCCAGTTCTCTCATTTCATAAACCTTACAGCCCAGATATCTGGGACATCTGTATGATCTTCTTTAATAGACTGAATACAATGCAGCTAGCTTACCTGTGGAGGAGCTTCCACTGAGTTCGGTTTTGGGTTGAAGGTTGCTACAGGAGATTGCCATGTAAATAGTGTTAGCAGCAAATGACAGCACCTGCCCTGAAAGCTCACCTGGGGAGATCAAGAGAGACTGAATATAACAAAACACAAAGGCAGGCAGGCAGGCAGAGCGGAGGATGCACAGTAGGAAAGATCAAAGCTGGTCTGATGAGCGTAGCCCAACCAGTCACCTCAAGTCACTTATATTTCACGTAAAGCTAGGCTTAGGCAAATGTGGCTAAATGCAACTTAATCTAAGCACATCATAGACTTGTGCTAATTTGACCATATTTATTACCTAGTTAATGGTGAGTAAAGGTATCTCATTGTGGTAAATGTCAATGTATGTCAGTGTATAGGTGTGATAGTATATTTTCACCTGTGCCAGGGACAGGTGGTTTCTCTTGGTAGCCCACGATGAGAAGCCCAACCACAACCACAAATATGGGGACTCTCCATGAGCCAGTCAGAGACACTAAAACAGATAGAGGAATTGGATAAGTGGAAGAAGATGGATGAGTTACGGATGGATACATTTAACTAGATTGAGAGAAAGCTGTTGTAGTTAAACTGCAGGACGACATTACTGGCTTAACAGGTATATTCCTTGTCAAGCATGACTCTGCTAGTCTTGCCTGATGAGCTGAACCATATTCATAAACAAATATGACATACAATGTTGACTGTTGCTATGAAAGCACTTTTAAAAACTTCAAAGCAGAAAACATTTTCTCACATGTGCCCAGAAACCTCCTTTTAAGGCAGAACTTCTTCTTAACCAGCTTTCAGTCACTTTTTAAAACTTCACGCCTGAAGCTCAGAGCAAGTGTTAAGTGTGCTAAAAATACTTTCGACATCCTCATCTTACTCTGCGTGCCCTCTGTTTCAAAGACAAGTGGATTTGTACAGGCAGCAACTTATTGACCACATTTAGAAGAAATCTCCTGCAGTCCAAAGAGGCAGCTTGTATGGCTGGCTGTGGGCGCTGTCCACACTCACCGATGTAGAAGAGCAGGACAGCCCAGACAGGAAGTGCCAGAGTCCTCAGGTACCGCTCAGTTTGAGGACTCCACTTAAAACAAACCGCCAGCAAGTATCCAAACACGACAGTCCCCACCTGTGACGAAATAAAACAAAGATGCACAATAATGAAACAGAGGGTATTTTAATTAAATATACTGAGACTTCTATTCTCTTCCATTGCATCATAATCATCATTTGATGCTGAACCTTTAAACTTCATGAGTCTTAAAAAGTATAATTGAACAGTTTTTGTGATAATCACTTTGCGTTGATGTTTTTTCTTCCTAAACTCATCCAGTTTTACAAACGCTCTGCTCCTGTTTAGCAGTGAGCACTTAAGACTACACTAGAAGTTTAATCGACTGCTCATAAAGATCTCAGCTTGTGTCGCTCCTCACAAAGACATGCCTTGATGTAATTTAATATAGTGTCCTCCATCCTATTTATAAACACAGGCCCTCTGTCAGCTGAACTCCGCATTCAGAGAAAGAAGAACATTTAATGCAATTTGGATGAGGCGGACGGGTTCTGGCCCCTGGAGCTGTTTGGGAATGAAGTACCGATCGATCAGATGCTGGAACTGCAGGAAATTAGATCAACTTACATAAAAGTTTGCACACATATTCCAAGAAACACATTTTCTGTTTAGGTTAATCGAATAAGTCTTTATTAGAGACACACTGCAGCAGCCAGTCAACTTTAATCCCCCAATTATTCTTTATCAACTATTGCCTATTGCTAAATGGCATTTATGACAACATGATAATAACATTTGTACATTTGTACAGTCAACATTTTAATTCTGAGTTCATTTTAATCAGACACACAAAACAGGATTAAGTAGGAATGAAATTCACAATTACTGTTATTACTCCCTCTGTAGATAATTTTCTGTGCAAATAACGTGATGTGAGCTTTTCATATTTGATTTTTTTTTACCCAACCAACAATCAAAAGACTACTAGTTTGTTATCGTAAGATTACTAGTTTACTATAGTAAGACCCACACAATCAGGCGAGTAATAAAATCATTGACGTTTAAAGTATAACTTTTAACATTCTGTCCCAGATAATATTTAAAATATGTGCCACAGTTTACACAGAGCTGACCTAACAGCACCCACTCTGACGGACAGAGGGGCCCTTTGTCATTCTGTCAGAGAGAGGATTGTCACTCTACTGTCACTCACCCACATAAAGTGGAAACAGTCCAGCGCGTTCCCGATGACCCCACAGACGTGCCCGAGGATCACCTGCATACCGATGACACTCCAGAAAAGGTAGAGGAAGTAAACCAGCGGTGCCCCCGCCCCGATAACCAGGAGTATCGTGAGCTTCTCCAGAACTAGCCTACCCATCGCCTCCACCCCGTAGTTGAGACACCACACCGGGACCAGCAGCGTCCCCACCACTATGGGCGTCCCGCTGTCCTGCAGGCCGCTGAGCCATGAGCGGCCGAGACGAGCCAGGGAGTATTTGAAGGGGTGGAGGAAGGTGCCGCAGAGCACAGCCCAGAGCAGCGGGCGGAGGAAGGCCTCGAGGATGAAATAGACCAGGACAGCTGCCCCGCAGCAGATAGCCACAAATATCATCGCCCCGGTGTTGTAGAAGGCCTGTTTTATGTTCTTGTCAAACTTCAGGGAGGAGGGCTGGGTTAGCAGTTGGCTCATCATCCCGACAGCCGGCTGGAAGCTCTCCGAGAAAGAAACAAAGTGAGGCTGCTCAGCGTGAGGGCTCTCTGGGGGAGAGACAGCGGCGGGATCCGGCGCCGAATCCTCCTCGTCTGCCATGTTCCCAGTTTCAGCTCCGCCAGCCCGTCCAACTGATCCACCGCGTGAGGGAGGAAAACAATGACGTAGCAACATCGAATGCCCAAAGGCCTCATGGGCAATGAAGTGTCCGTGATGTCGCGCGTTCCTTCCTGTTTTCTTTTTCTTTTTTTTTAACTTACCACTTTTCTTCCGGTTTATTTTTTATTATTGTTTTATTAATATTACAAGGTGGTGTTATAAAGTACTTAATTCAAGCAGCAATACACATTATAGCTATTTAAAATATGTAAATAAAAATAATTACATTGCATTGTTAAACAAAGTGTCTTTAAGACAATTAGAGTCATGATGATCAGGTTTTCTGAAATTCCGAGATCCTTTTTTAAACATTTGTTTTTTTAAATGGTACGGTAAGTTGACTTCAAGTTGACACCACACTAGCTTCCACTTCCACTGTGTTTGAATCTCATGGCTGTGTGGGGTCTTTCTGTTCAAAAGCGGCATATTCTCCCTGTGCCCTACAGCTTCTTCCCATGGTAGGCATGCATGTTAGGTTAACTGGTAAGAAAAACAAAACAAAACAACCACGCATAAATATACAATGGTTTTTATATGAATACCATTGCATTTGTACATTCATTTACTTTTTTATGAAAATTTCTACAACCCCCTTATTTTTCCCACTGCCCATTTCATGTGCTTGAAAAGCAGGTGGTGTGTAAAAGGTGGTGTGTTTTTTGTTGGTTTGTTATTTTCTGCGCTTTCTTGTGTATTTTATCTTCTGCCCAGCCTCTCACGAGTGTGAATGTATGAGTAATTTGTACATTTTATCAGGCTGCACATCATACTACACGTAGCCACTGCTCAAAATCTAATTATGTTACATTCTATTAAAGTCGTGCCCTTTGGCTTTATACTTCCAGAGTGAGAAGGCAGTCTCTGCATTCACTACAGCGTCTGTATTTTGTATAGACTGTGTTCTTAGCAATAAGCACAGCAGCGACAGATGTTTCAGTGGGAGACATCTTAACATATTCAACCATTTTTAATACACTTCAAAAGCTACAATAGCAACCCAGGGGAAAAAAATATTACTTCATATAAGAGCAAAATGTTTCTTTTAACCGTGTTATTGCTTGAACAGGCAATAGTAGTAACTCTTCTCATCAGTCTTGCTGTGAGTCACAGTGTCACAGTACTGATAAACAAAGCAGTTACTGTGGTTGAGGAAGTGAGATGATGAAATCAGACAAGGATGTAAAAAAAAAGTATACGAAAATCTTTTACATAGTAGATGCACCGGGTTGTTCCTGAAACCCTGCACTCCATATTTCTAACACCAGCAAACAACATTTTTATTTTATTTTTTTAAGGCTGAGATCCACAGAAACGTAGCAGGGTGAGGAGACGGGAAGCATTTGTGAGAGCTGTTTTATTTTCCTTTCATCCTCAGAAACCCGTTGTTTTGGCAAAGTTTGACATTATTCACCAGTGCACGGTGGGTGTCTGAAACCATTCCCAGATTTTCCAGTGCATGCAGGGTTTCAAAGTCTTGTGAGATGTATTTGTTGGAATGGAGTCCTCATATTTTTATATAACTGGAAGCTATCGTTAACACTGAAAATGACTGGCCTATTTTAAACTACTACTACTACTCTGCCCTCTTGTCTAATACTCAGATCAGCACATGTCACCTCTAGAGTGTTGCTTTAATACTTCAAGATGCTGTGTGAGTTATGAATATATAGTCTTTCATGTTCAATATATCTAACACAGTCTGTGCAAAGAGGGCACTTGTATGTGGCATCAGATTTAAACTTTTTTTTATTGCTGCTTCATCCTCTCTCTGCTGTGCTGTGCTGTGCTTCGTTATGGCGTCCCCATCAGCAGGTAGAAGGTGAGAGCTACTATGAGCAGTAAGCAGAGGGGAGAATTAAATGTCTGATAAGCTGTGGAGGGCATGAAGATGTCCACGTACTTATAGATGCTGATCATGTGCTCGCTGACTGGAGGACTGTCAATGTCGTGCCTCGTGATGGAACCTGTTGGACAGGTAAGATGAAGGAGATGTCACGGGCAAGGGCTAAAAAAATGGGCAGTGTAATCTGACGCTAAAGACTCATCGCTCACCTTGAATAGCAGGTCCCCATGCAAACAGGTAGTACCACGAGAGGTGTAAGTCCACAAGCGTTTCCTCTCGTGGGACGTATAACGGTCGCTTGAAACGGCAGGTGACGCGGTTGTTCTCAAATATGCCCTCTTCGTCTCGAGCCGGATTCCTCTTGATCTCCTTGGCCCACTGGCCGACGTTGTAGAAGTGATGTATCCGCACGCGCCCGTTATCATCGTGCACACAGGCCATAACATCGTCTCCTCCCTAAGGAGACAAAGAGTGTTATTTCCAAAATGTGCATAAATTTAGTTCTTGAAAAAACTGACCATTATGATACAGTCAAGGTAAAATATACACTTCCAGGCCAGTTCACTAAAAAAAAATACCCATGAGCCAGTCACATGGCTGAGTGCATTTAAGCATTTAAACATTTAAGATATTAAGATGACCTTCTGAAGTCCAAAATGAGCATCAGAATTGGGAAGAAAAGTGATTTAAGTGACTTTGAACTTGGTTGCTGGTGCCAGACAGACTAATCTGAGTATTTCAGAAACTGCTGATCGGCTGGGATTTTCCCCATGTAAACATCTCTATGTTTTCCAAAGAATTCCTTGTAAAAGAAAATATCCAGTGAGCAGCCATTCTTGAGATTGTTGCTGAATATATTTATCCCTTTATTGGCACACTGTACCTATCCTCTGATGGCTGCCTCCAGCAAGATAACACAACATGTCTTAAAGCTCAAATTGTGTCAAACTGGGTTCTTGAAAATGACAACGAGTTCACTGTACTTAAAGGGCCTCCATAGTCACCAGATCTCAATCTAATGGAGCTCCTTTGGGATATGGTGAATTGGAGATTTCCATCACAGATGTTCATCTGAGAAATCTGCAGCAACTGTGATGCATGCATGCAGCATGATATTGCATGTGATGCAATATCATGCTTTTAGTCTTTGCAAAAAGTTACATAAATGTTGCTCCAGGACTGTGGTTGCAACGTATCAGTCGCACTGTTGTGATGTCAATGTTTTGACCTGGGGGAAAAAACAGCACAAGCTTCGCCTCATTGGATTAAATTGTGAAAGGGTTTACTTTAACCCAAACAATGTTTTTATTAAACAAACTGGCTAATAAATTAATATATGTTTTTTTTAAGTTTTGAAACATTGAAACAGAGAGTTTATTGTGGAGACCTGCTGAGTCACTGAATTTCATATTTAATTGGTTCAATCTCTTACAGTCAAAAAAATTCTTATCCATGAGTTTGACGTGGGACTGCTAATTCTTCTGTACCCTGAAGCGATAAAACAAAAAAAATCATAATTATATGCAGCCCAAAAGATACAAACACATGGTTTGCTGTCCCAAATAAGACACAAGACCTGTGTAACTTTTAGCAGTCAGAGATGTTGCAGAGCTGCTCACCATTTTCTTATCAGATGAGAAACCTACAGCCACCCAGCCATCCGTATCTGCGCTCAGCTCAAACTCCACATCTGTCCCGATGCGACGATAACTCAGAAAGTAGTCACACGTCTCTGCATCGCACCCCGGCTTCCCGTACCTGAGTGCAGATAAATAAATGCAAATGCTCACAGTCATTCACTAGAGATAAGATCTCAGCTGGGCAGACAGAGCTCATCTAAACAAATGAGGACACTTTTTAAAAGAAACTGAATCCAGGTTACAAAGAAGAAAGATTAACTTGCTGAGCGTTCCCATGTTTAGCTCTGGCTCTCTGACGTCAGGAGCATCTGGGATGAAGGACCCCCAGGGATTACAGTAACACTCGAGCTCTTTTTAGAGAAAGACAGAGGTGGATCTCTAACCTTATGCAGCCCTTTGTTACTCCACAGTCGCTGACTTTGATCTTGGCAAAGGGGTCAACTGGGGGTGCTGTGGGGAATGGGTAACCTGCGAAACACAGCAAATAAGTAAATAAATAACGTGAATTTTGTTGATTACACACTAAACAGCTGATACATGTATTCAGTGATGAAGGCCAACTGAGGAGAGGCCATCTGCACTCTGTGTGTGGGTGAGGAGAAGGAAGGGGTGGGCAGCTACCATCGGGGAGCTGGCCTGGGTGCTGAAAGGCCTCATATTGAGGTGACAGGTTGGATGCAAGACAACACTGGCACATATTAACCTTTGTCCTGCCCGTGCTAGGCCCTGTGTGCTTGTGTGTGGAAAAAAAGCATGCAAACAAAACCACTAGCTGCTCATCTTTAGTGGACTGAGTGACATCCTCACCATCATCGGACAGATATCTGGACTCCAGAAACTCGGAGGCGAAGGTGCTGTAGGAGTCCTTGTGAGGCTCTTGGTGTCCAGGCTCTCCGTGCTCTCCGTGGCCAGTCCGGAGTGCTCCCTCATCGGTGGGGCTCGGCGCGACCCCCCACCATCCAGCGTGGATCAGCAGCACCGAAAGCTGCACAAGCCTCCGCAGGAAAATCATGACCAACAAAAAAGGGAACGCTGGTAAAACAATAAATACAAAAAACAAAAACGGTTAAACCAATCTGGAAGAAAACTGGATGTCCATCACTGTTTGAATTTCTGCATCTTCGCAGGTTTCCTTGCAGCGTCACAAAACCGTCTCCTCATCCTGTTTATTCGCAGGGATGCGAGGGGACACCGCGTCTGATTAGGAGGCTAATCCAGCTCTAAATTACCCAGATTCGTAATCTTACCATCGAATTCAGCTACACGCCCATAATCCTCTTTGAAACCGCAGTCCTGATGGCTTCTAGAGCTCATTAATCTTTTCATAGGCTATTTTTCGGTGTTGGGCCGGATGAATGGTATCGCCCAGCCGCCCTCTCCTCTCGTCTCCTCAGTCAATCACAGTAACGTCCAATGAGCAGACGCTACGTGCTGCTGTCACCATCGATCAATTGGAGATTGAACAACGTTTCCACAACAGCTGACACAGTATTTCACATGTTTGGAGTATAAGATGATGCAATGTAAAATAATTAGCCTGTAGAGTAAGATTTTATTGCCTCGGCTGCAATCGGAATTTTAGTCCTAGTCACTGACACCAAATATACCACAGAGCTTCTATTGTTCTGACGAGCCATGCGTTAAATTGTGTTTATTCATCCAAAATTTGGAAGTAATCTAATCTAACCTAACCTAAAAATTACCAATCATGTTTGCACTCCTCTCTCCGAAAATTATTTACTGAAGACACGAATTTAAGCTGTTCCTTTTACACTGTTTTTCCTCTTGTTTTTAATCTATATCACTCTGCTTGTTATATGTGCATATATGCGATTTTTAAAAGGTCCAGATTCTGTTCCATAAAAAATGGTTG